AAACAGGTGCTGTACCACTGAGCTACATCTCCAGCTCTTGAGATGATTCTTCTCCTTCCTCTCTCCCTCCTTCCCTTCTTTTTTTGAAATAAGGTCTCACTGTGTAGCCCAGTCTGGTCCACTCTCAAGCCTTCCACAGTGCTAAAATTGTGGGTACACAATACACTTGCCTGTCTGCCTCCTATCCTTCCTCCCACCCTCCTATCCTCCCTCCCTCCCTCCATTCCTTCTACCAGGCACAGATATTGGAAATTGAACATAGGGCCTTGCACATGCCAGGCAAACATTCTACTACTGAGCTATATCCCCACATCTTACATTTTGTAAAAAAAATTATTTTGAGATGGGGATCTTACTAAGTTTGCCCAGGCTGTCTTTGAACTCACTCCATAGCCCAAGCAAACCATGAACTTTCAGTCCTTCTGGTTCTTGTTTGTGGGTTTTGTTGTCTTTTGCTATGTAGACCAGACTGGCCTGGAACTCAGAGATCCACCTGCTTCTGCCTCCTGAGTGCTGAGATTAAGGGTGTGTGCTCCCCACCCCCAGCACTCTCAGTCCTGCCAGACCTGGCTCACTTCTCATGTTTTCGTATGAAAAAATTTAAATGTATTTATAATTTAGTCTCTTTCTCTCTCTCTCTCTCTCTCTCTCTCTCTCTCATGTGCTTATGCCAGTGTGTGGAGTTCAGAGGACAACTTGTGAGAGTTAGTTCTCTCCTTCTCTGTGGGTCCAGATAGTGAACTCAGGTTTCAGCCTTGGCACTGAGTGTCTACCTGCAGAGCCATCTCCTCCATCCTCTTGTGTTCATTTTTTGTGACAGTCTTGCTGTATAGCGCTGGCTGACCTGGAACTCACTATGCAGCCCAGGTCGGCCTTGAACTTGGGGCAGTCTTCCTGCTTTGGCTTCTTGAGTGATGAGGTTTTAGATGTGCACTGCCACATCCACTTTTCATCATGCAGTGACTTTTCTTTAAAAACTGATAGACCGCTATTGCTCAATCAGGAAAGCACAATAGCAGTAGCATGCATGTGCAGGTATGTATATACGTGTTGAAGAGAATCAGCTTGCACAAATATAGGACTAGGTAGGTAGTCTTGTAATGCTCTTGGGTCCAAGTCTGGTACTGGAATTTGATGCTGACAAAGGCAGTCAGAAGGAAAGGAAAAAAGGAGTAAAGTGGGGGAAATCAAAGTCAGGCCGGAAGTCCCAGGTGTGGCATTCAACCTCACAACCATGGAATGAAACATGTCTTTTTTAAAAAAAATTTTTAAATAGCATTTTTAAATTTATTATTTTTATTTTATGTGTATGAGTGTTATGCCTGCATGTACTTAAGTGCACCCATGTCGTGCAATGCCCGTGGAGGACAGAGAGGCTGTCGGATCCCCTGGAACTGGAGTTATGGACAGTTGTTAACTACCACGTGGGTGCTGTGATACGAACCTGGGTGTTCTGCAACAACAGTCAGTGTTAACTGCTGAGCCATCTCTCCAGCCCCCACATGTCTGTTTTTATTGCCTTGACTATGATGACAAGGGTATCTGGAAAAGCTGGAACCTTCCATCACCAAACTAAGCACACACCTGGCCCATGTTGGAGGATCGAGAGGGAGGTGGAATAGTTGCACATTAAGGTACCCTTTGATGTCAAGAGCAGTCATCAACAACGTGTGAGCTATGACATGGCTGCTGCCTCCTTTTGTACATTACAGGTCTCACAGAGATCTCCTTTGTGTCCCACCCAAACCAGAAACAGGAAAGGAATTCTATGAACAAGTTAGTTGCCACCTTATAAAGTCATCACAGTACACCCTGTCAGCTTGCTACTATACATACTCTTATTTAAACGACAGTTGGAGGCCGGAGAGGTGATTCAGTGCTTGTTCTTGCAAAGGACCACCTTTCTAAGTAAAGTTCCAGGGGATCTGATGCCCTCTTCTGGGCTTTGCAGGCACTTAACATGTGCATTCACACACAAAAATCTTTAGAAAATATTTTTATTTCATGTGTATGAATGTATTGCCTGCATGCATCTAAGTGCACCCGTGTTGTGCAATGCCTGCAGAGGTCATAAGAGGGCACTGAATCCCATGGAACTGGAGTTACGGACGGTTGGTGGCCACCATGTGGATGCTGGGAACTGAATCCAGGTCCTCTGCAAGAGCAGCCAGTGCTCTTAACTGCTGAGCCCTCTCTCCAGTCCCACTAATATAAAACTCTTTAATTTTTTTCAGATTTATTTTTATTTTGTATGTATGAGTCTTTGCCTGCATATGTGCTTGTGGACCACTGTGGTGATTCTGCATTAAAAGAAACTAACTGAGGGTGTGGGGTGGGGAGACACTAACTGGCTTAGCTTGTAAAAATTAGTTATTTGGAGGGGTTGGAGAGATGGCTCAGTGGTTAAGAGCACTGACTGCTTTTGCAGAGGACCCAGGTTTGATTCCTATCATCCACATGGCGGCTAACAACCATCTGTAACTCCAGTTCCAGGGGATCTGACACCATCTTCTGACTTCTTTGGGCATTGCATGACATGGGTGCACTTACATACACACAGGAAATATACTCATACACATAAAATAAAAAATGAATAAAATATTAAAAAATTAGTTACTTGGGGGAGCCCAAGGCCTAGTAAAATGGTTTACATTGTTTTCGTTCATATATATATATATATATATATATATATATATATGTGTGTGTGTGTGTGTGTGTATATATTTATTTATTATTTTATGTGTATGAGTATATTGCCTGCATGTATGTGAGTGAACCTGTGTTGTGCAATGCTGCGGAGGTCAGAAGAGGGCTTCCGATTCCCCTGGAACTGGAGTCAAGGATGGTAATAGCTGCCATGTGGGTGCTGGGAATCGAACCCAGGTCCTCTGCTAGAGCAGTCAGTGCTCTTAACCCGAGCCATCTCTCCAGCCCCATACATTATTTTCTTAAAGGCAAGTTAAATTTAAACAAGCTGATTTCACAGTAGGAAGATGGACTGAATACACACTGTTAAATTATCTAAAAGCATATGGTTAACTTGTTTACAAGGTTAAGTAAAAGTTCAATTTATAACAGAAGGCCATCCTAGAAGAATCATTTCCACAAACCATATGTGTGCCCGGTATCTGTGGGGCCCAGAAGAGGTTGTTGAAGTCTGTGGAACTGATGTTACAGATGGGAAGTGAGCTGTCATGTGAGCACTGGGAACCCAACCTGGGACCTCTGTAACAGTAGCAAGTGCTCTTAATTGCTGAGCAATCTCCAGCCCCTACAAAATAAAAAAAAAAATTGTTTTTGGTCTTTTTGAGACAAGGTCTCCCTGTAGCCCCAGATGGCCTGGAACTCACTATGTAGACCAGGCTATACTTTATCTCCAAATAAAGTAAATAACAAAGACGTGCCTTAACCCAACATGAGACAATTATCTCTCTAAATTATTAGCAATGAAGGAGACACAAAATGAGAAAATGGCAAAATGCCCGATTTTTCCTTTGAGTGATGTTCATTCCTCTAACAACACTCCTAGCTTAATACCTATAATTTAAATACTGAGCTAGAAAGTTAACTGCTATTGCTAATACTTTTTAGACAAGGTTTTGCTATATAGCCCAGGCTGGCCTCTGACCCATGGCGGCTGCTTTCTGAGTGCATGCACCTGGATTTAAAATGAACTATTATTAGCATAAGGCATGGAAGAAACAGGCTGGAGAAGTGCTCAGTAGTTAAGAGAATCTGAGTTCAGCTCCCAGCACTCACATGGTGGCTAACAATTTGTAACTCCAGTTCCAGGGGATCTGATGTTTCTCTGGCCTTCATGGATACTGCACACATGTGGTATGCACACATACATGCAGGCAAATACTCATATACACAAATAAAAATAAATTTTAAAAAAAAGAAAAGCCAGATTAAGGGCTTTGGAAAGCTGAAAATATATTATTGCCCAGAGGGGGTTCTTTGTGGATTCACTAAACATTTGAACGTTCAACATTATCATTTTGGGCATCAGATTCTTCACAAAGAATGTTTCAACTTTAAAACCAAGCTCCAGTTGGAGTTAAAAAAAAAAAAAAAAAAAAGAATAAATCCAAGCCAGGCATGGTGATACACACCTGTAATCCCAGCCTTAGGAGGTCCAGGCAGAAAGATCAAAAGGCCAATGACAAAACAAAACAATGTAACAAGAAATCCAAATTGTAAAGTCACACGAAAGTTTAACCTTCCTTTTACTCAAAACTAAATATTAACAGTAAGTGAACGTTTGCTCTGAATAAGAAGACATCTATGGACAATGAGATACCTTAGATATGTCAATATTGTGTCCAATTAATTTTGACTTCCTAAAAATAGTAAGCGGGGCCAGAAAATCAGATTCTGAAAAATAATGGCCAATACAAAGTTCCTAAGGTTCCTTTTGACAGAGATGTGTACTTGAGTAAAGAATTTCACTGGTAATCTACTGCGGTGCGCGCCTCTAACCCCACACTCAGGAGGCAGAGGCAGGAGGATCCTGTGCTGGAGGTCACCTTGGCCTACATAGTTTCAGGCCAGCCTGGACTAAACGAGACTGTCTCAAAAAAAATCCCAAAGCAACCAAACAACATCAGCCAAATCAACTCTACAACTACCCTCACCCCAATTCCACAAGGCCTTCCGAATTTAATTCAGATCGGAGAATTTCCTGTATCTTCAGTAATTAAGACTTCAAAAGTCTTCAACTCTAAGTAACAGAAAACCAAGTTATACTGCTTTAATGAAATCCTGTGTTCTAGTTAGCATTAACTTTCCACTTGACACAGCACCTGAAAGGAGTCTCAGTTGAGTACATTTTTCCAGGAATGCATTCATGAATTTATCCATTCAGCAAACATCAGGCTCTGTGCCATGTACACACAGTCTATACATACAGTGGTCTTCAAAATCAACATGGTAGAGCTCGGTGAGTCACGGGGAAGTCAGGAGATGCAGGGGACTCACACAGCTGCACAGTTACACACCGGAAAGCTCGGTGAAGAAGGGGAGCGGGGGCAGGAGCTGTGTGCTGCTGGCTGCGGCTGTGTTTCCGCAAGGATTCAGCAAAGCATACAACGCGAACGATGCATACAGTGCATGCACGCGGCCAGCTCTGCCGCGCAGGCCTGGCGTCCACTGCTCGGCCGGGGGTCTCTGAAGGCTCTAGAATGAGCAGCAGCTCGCCGGCAGCCACGTCGTCTCAGGGACAGTCCACCCTGAAGAAGAGTGGGGAGCGCAGCGTGAGCGCCCCAGAATCCCGGATCCCAGGTCCCTCTCTACTCGGGAAGTCCTTTCCAGCAGGCACCCCCAGAGGGCGCACAGCCCCGGAGACCACTCCTCCCGGGTCCTGGAGCAGGCCCCCACTTCCGGCGCGTACGCCTCCCAACCTTCCGGCTTCCGCGACTGCGCCTGGCGGGCATCTTGCGGAGAGAAGGGTGAGTGTGGCGGGGCGGCCGCGCGGGCCGGGGGTCGCCGTCCGTCCGCCGGCTGCTCCCCGCCCGCGGTTCTCCATCGGGTTCGCCCAGCGCCTACACCGCGCTGTAGGCTCTCTGCTGTGCGAAGCTCGTCCCGGGCGGGTCTCAGCAACGGCGCGGGCGTTTCCTTGGTCATACTCCGAAATAATCCCCTTCTCCGGGGTTTTTTATTATTTTAAAAATCCGAGACAGGCGTTCCCTGACTTGCCCAGGCTGGCCGTGAACTCAGCTTTAGGTCAGGCGGATCTTGAATTTGGGGCAACTCTTGCCTCAACCTCCCAAATAGCTGGGATTACAGGCCTGTGCCACCTGGTCTGGCGCGCTCTTGTGTGCTTCGTGTTTAACGTGGGCCCCCCTTTAAGTTTTGTGGTGGGAAGGACGGTGTCTTAACTGCCCAGCTTCCAGCGCGGAGCCTGCACACATAGACACTCAATAGATACTAAACAAGTTTGTGAAAAACACGGGCTGACTTCTAATGAGTGCTTTGGTTTGGTGACTCGTGCAGATATGCTGCCATTTCAGCAGGAGTCCTCTATGAGTATGGACCCAGGCTTCCGACCATTTGGTTTCAGAACAATCCAGACTTGAGCCAGGAGTGGTAGCACAGACCTGTAATCCCAGGGCTTAGGAGGGGAGGCAGAAAGATCAAGTTGTTCAAGGCCAGCGTGGTATATATGAGACCCTGGCTCAAAACAAAAAAAATGAAACCGAAATCAACAACAAAACCAGCAACTGTCAAGGTTACCTCCCAAGCCATGTAACCTGGGGACAGATTACATGTATTGTTCATCAGTTGAACTTGACTATAGTAAGTACGTATACATGCTGAGAAGATGAAGTGAATTGAGGCACTTAAACAGTAGACAGTGTTCAGAACTGTTATAAAGCCTCAGTGTTCTGTTAGTAAGTGATTGGACTATAACCTTATATTACATTATGATGCACGTGTGTTATAATAGCCTGCCTCAGAGGATTGCCCAAGAGCATCCTGGGGGTTTCATCTGGGTTGCTTGGACCGAGAGCTAGTTAGGGACCAGAGATTTGCTTTGCAGAGGGCGGGCTGCACCCAAGCTCAGTACTTCCCACCTCTCTGAGCCTCTTCACCACTGCCAGGTGACACCGAAATCCAGGTTTTCTGATCAGAAGTGGGTTGACAAGGCTGCTTTCTTAGACTGTGCCATACGAAGGTGGGAGTGATCTGGAGCATAGAGTGCTTCTCTCTAAACTTCCTGCCATGATGAGAGAATCAGGGGACCCGTGGTTTCATTTACTGAACACTGGTAGGTTTTCCTGAGTAAAGCCTTTTCTGTAATGCATTCCTTGTAAAATGGAATTTGCCCCTTGCAGTGGGCCAATTTTTATTAATTAATTATTAATTAGATTCTCCCTGAGCCCCAGCTCACCTGGAACTTACTGGGTAAATCAGGCGGGCTTTGGATTCACCAAGATCCACTTGCCTCTGCCTCCAGACTGCTGGGATTAAAGGCATGCATCACCACACCCAGCTGCCAATTATTTTAAAATGTGGTTTGCTATTATTCAGGTATAGTGAGAACAGCAGATGAAATGATTTTAGTTGGAAAGGTAAGTTTGTTCCTAGAATTTCAAGAGAACGGTGCCTGCTTTAAGATGAAAGCCTCAGGGTCAGGCAGGGCAAGGGCAAGACCAGTAAGACTTACTGTGGTTTCTATGGGAAGGAATGGGCAAGTCCCTTAGGATGGACTTGTTTGAATCATTTCAGTGGACTCTTGGGCATGGGGATTGTACCTTGTTTGGTGCTGGCCTTGAAGTGGTTAGGATAGGAAAGTGGTAGTCTTGAGGGTGAGGGCCTGGTAGAGAACTTGGGAGGAGGGGTTCTGTGTCTGGTGGTTCCCATTGAAAGATAGGCCACAACTGATTTGCTTACTGCTCTAGGAACTGGCTGGCCCTGAGAGGGACAATCTATGAAGGCATGAGGATAAAAAGGCATGCTTAACACACTTCGCAGCCCTTCGCAGATGTGTTGCGTGTTTCCAGTTCCCGAAGCACTGCAGTGCCCCATTGTTAACTGTTTCCAGAGAGATGAGACCTCAGAAAAGTTCAGTTGGTGGCTAAGGCTACATGGCTAGTAACGATCTGCACCATGATTGTCTGCCTGTGGTTGGATTATCTGATTCCAAATCTGGTGTGTTTTTGTGAGCTAGATCACTTCCTTGATGCCTGCTACATGCTGTGGAAATGTTTTCCAGTCCTTATAAAGTACTTGACAGTGTTGACCACTGCCTCTTTGAAGTTCTACTTTTTTATTATTCATACATACACACATCCATATCTACATCTATACATACATATACATTCAGTCATATACTCAGCTGTATGGTATACTGTGCCACATACAGCACTCATTGGGCTGAGTGACAGAGATACAAGCCGAAACAGTGTAGCCTGTAGTACAGTCCTGGACAAGACCAGTAGTCCCATTAAAGTACGGTTTTTGGCAAAATGAGAAGAGTGCTTTGAGGGAAAAGCAGTTCCTTTAACCTTGTCTCATGACTGCTTGATATCCCAGGGTTCTCAACACTGGCTCCAGGCGTTTGTGGGATATACTACAGATGCACTTTATTGAGACCTCATTCAGGAGGGTCTGGGTAAGCTGAGATGGTGCACTCAAAGAGGGCTTCACTTAGCTGAGAGCTTTGGTCTTTAAAAAACTGTTAAGAGGAACATATGTAGGACCATGTCTGCTGATAGCCCAGCTGACAGCCAGAATCCATTGGTGGCTGGTGAGTGACGCACCTTGGAAACCCATCACTACTGTTATCTCCCATCCCAGGGTTTTCACCATCATTTCCCAACCTGTAGGAACAACCAAGGTTGCCTTAGACAGTTAATTCTGGAATAAAAATAGCTTTTGCTGAGCCGGGTGTGGTGGCGCATGCCTTTAATCCTAGCACTTGGGAGGCAGAGGCAGGTGGATTTCTGTGAGTTCAAGGCCAGTCTGGTCTACATAGTGAGTTCCAGGCCAGCTGGGGCTACAGGAAGACCCTGTCTCAAAAAAGACAAAAAAAAAAAAAAAAAAAGCTTTTGCTTGAGAGTCAGGCAGTGCTGGTTCTTGACCAGTTTGGGGACTTAGCTGAACTCAAGATGCTTTGCTTCTTCATCTGTAAAACATTGGGATGATATTTACTGCACAGTAGCATTGTTGAGACTCAGTAGCACACCACTTGGCAGCTGCCTGGCTCACAGCAGGTGTTAAGATGAGTTCCTGTCTCTTGGGAAGCCCCAGGACATAACAGCTAAATACTTGAGAGCCGGGCTCTGCTGCTCACTAGCTGTGTGCCATTGGTCAGCCTAGGATTCTCAGTAACCTTATGTGGCAAATAAATATGATTGTCCTTATGGAGCACTATTTACGATCTTTAATGTTATCCCTGGCTTTATCACTAAAGGTCAAATTGGTTTTGAACCATACTAAAATTTTCTGCTTCCCAGCCTGAACAAATCTTAAACAGTCCACAGACGTGTCATTTCCATGGAAGTTCTCTTTAGCCAGTTTTCCCTGAAAGCACTGAACCAGCAAGCTATGTTTCTCAGTCCTTGTAGTCAGTTTTCTTTACAGTGGTATGTTCTCAGGTGTCTGGCCTTCATAAACATGTATTTACATTCCAAGCACATGCTTTGTCTGTGTAACATAAAGCACTCTCCACCTCAGGGGCTCTCTCTCCATAGAGCTGCAATTCAGAAAGAATCCCTTGGACCCGCCTCTTCTCTGCCTTCATTGGGCAGCCCTTTTGGACTGTCTTGCCCAGGATGTCTGGAGAAGCCACAGCCTTGGCCTGTCATGCTCCAAAAGAACAAGATGGACTTAACATTGTGAAAGTTGAAGAAATTGTTTGGAGGCAGGATTTCAGTCTTCAGGGAAATCCTCAAAGCCAGGAGGTCTTCCGCCAGCTCTTTAGACAGTTTGGTTACGCTGACTTCGCTGGGCCCCGGGAGGCTCTGAACCAACTGCAGGAGCTTTGCCACCAGTGGCTGAGGCCAGAGGAACACTCCAAGGAGCAGATCCTGGAGCTGCTGGTGCTTGAGCAGTTCCTGGCCATCCTGCCCGGGGAGCTGCAGACCTGGGTGCAAGAGCACAGGCCTGGGAATGGAGAGGAGGCTGTGGCTCTGCTGGAGGAGCTGGAGAGAGAATTTGATGAGCTCCAGCAACAGGTAAGAAGTAGTAGGGGGTTTTTGGTTTGTTTGTTCATTTTGACCTACTGTAGTCAATAGAGAAACCATTATGAGTTGCAGTGACTCAGTTCTCAGGGACCTCAACCAGTTTCTATTTCTTGGTATACTGACTATTCACCCATTAGTTCAGGTTACAGGGGTCTGTGGCCTGCTCTTTCTTCTCTAGTCACCTGAATGGTTTTCTGATTCTTCTGTCTTGCCCATTGCTCTAGGGGTTTCTCTCCTGTATATCCTCAGAGTTACAGTGCTGGCACTTGATTACTTGTAGGACACAGCTCATGGCCAAGACATGATCTACAAAGAATTGACACCCATGGGAACACTCAAATCTCCGAGTAGCCCACTGCAGCCCTTGAAGAACCATTGTGGGAGTGAGTCCCAGGAGCCCCAGGCTTTACACAAGAGAGGTGAGCATCGCAATGAGGACTATCAAATATGCCATGGCTCATTTTCTTAATGACAGTCACCTGTGCTGTCACTAAACATTGTGAAAAGGCCTATTGGCCTTGTTGAAATATTCTTCCATTGGCTCAGCCTAGAATCTGAAATTCTAATATATTTTCTAACTTGGTTTAAGAATAGAAGTCTTGGGGCCAGAGAGATGGCTTAGCAGTTAAGAGCATGTATAGTTATTGTAGAGGACCAGAATTTGATTCTTAGCACTCACATTAGGTGGCTCACAACTGCCTGTAACTCCAGCTCTACAAGGTCGAATACCCTCTCTGGCTGCAGGGCACCTGTGCTTACATGCATATACTCCCCCCGACACATACACATTAAAAAATAAAATCTTTTTTTTTTTTTTTTTTTTTTTTTTTTGTCTTTTTGAGTCAGGGTCTCCCTGTAGCTCCAGCTGTCCTGGAACTTGCTATGTAGACCAGGCTGGCCTCAAACTCACAAAGATCCGCCTGCCTCTGCCTCCCAAGTGCTGTAAAAAATAAAATCTTAATAAAGATCATCTATAAAATTTTCTAAGGCCATAATATTCCAAGACCAATATTATTTGCAAAAATATTTTTGTCACACTAACAAGGCAGTTCTAAGATGGCTACGAATATTATGTCAGTAACAGAAGTCACATAATAACTTGATCAGGAAAAATAGGCCTGGGATTACAGGCCTGTACCACCAGGCCTTGCTTGGGAAACTAATTTTAAGAATTTTCCTTCTCTCCAGGTATGGGGGTCACACATTTGTAATTCCAGAACTACAGAGCCTGAGGCAAGAGGATCAAGTTTGGGGCCAGGCAGGGCCACATAATGAGACCTTGTCTTAAATTTTTTTGAAAAGAATTTTCCTACTACCAAGCACCTACCCTTTTGTGTTTTTCTTGTTCCTACTATAATACTTACTAATATGAACAAAATGACACATTTTTTTATTCACATTTTCAGATAGCAAGATGGTGACAGATGAAGTATTGACAGCAAAGCAGGAAATTATTGAGTGTGTTGCATCATTGGCTATGACATCTCCAGAAAGGCTCCCCAGGGAATCTTCAGGACAGATGGTTGAAGAAACTGTGGGAAGTCTGGACAACAGTGAGAAACAAAGTGATATCGGCAACAAGGTGCATCAACTTTCTCCTCAGGAAAGATACTTCAGTCTGGCATCTTTCAACAAGAAAAGCCCTACGGGACAGAAGAGCTTTGAATGTAATAAAAGGGAAGGAATGCTCAGTTTAAATTTAAGTGATACTACAGGACCCAAAATACACACAGAGAAAATGCTCTATGAGTGCTTAGACTGTGGGAAAGCCTTTTGCCGTAGGTCAAAGCTGATTAGACATCAGAGAAGCCATACTGGAGAGAGACCTTATGCATGTAAAGACTGTGGCAAAGCCTTTGCTTTCAGGACAGACCTTGTTAGACATCAGAGAATTCATAGTGGTGAAAAACCCTATAAATGTGACTGTGGAAAAGCGTTCAGAGGAAGTTCAGGGCTCATTAGGCATAGGAGAATTCATACTGGAGAGAAACCTTATGGTTGTGGTGAATGTGGGAAAGCCTTCAGCCAGAGCTCTGCCCTTATTCAGCATAAGAAGATTCACATTGGTGATAAAGGCTATGGATGTAGTGAATGTGGTAAGGCATTTAGTAGAAGCTCTATTCTTATAGAACATCAAAGAATCCACAGTGGAGAGAAACCTTATGAATGTAATGAATGTGAAAAATCCTTCAATCAGAGCTCAGCCCTCACCCAGCACCAGAGAATCCACACTGGGGAGAAGCCTTATGAATGTAATGAATGTAGGAAAATATTTAGGCATAGATCAGGTCTTATGCAACATCAGAGAACACACACTAGAGTTCAACTTTGCTCATGAGTTATATAATTGTGTTGAGCTAGGCGTGGTGGCTCACGCCTGTAATTCCAGCTCTTGGGAGGCAGAGACAGGTGGATCTCTGTGAGTTTGAGGCTGCCCTGGTCTACAACGTGAGTTCCAGGCCAGCTGGGGCTACAGGGAGACCCTGTCTCAAAAACTCAAAAAGGAGAGAGACAAAAAAAAGGCTGTATAGTTGTGAAATGCAAGGAATTCTCTCTGAAGGTAAGACCACAGAACACACAAGTTTGTTGATAGTAGGAATTTTCTTTCAAGCCCAGTTCAGTCTTGTAAAAGGAGATCCACGTGAAGATGTCTGTCATATTGAAAGCTTTTATCCAGGTACTTGTCCACAAAGAATGGTAGATGTTTTCTAGAAAGTCTCGACCCATTTCTGGATGAGGACTTGTAGGTAGTCCTTTCACCCACACCACTCCAGATAGAACTGCCATTGAACACTGTCATGTAAGTCCACGATTGAGGCACAGATCCTGAAACTGCTCCTTATAAGATGGTAAGGATCACTGCCCAGCCAGCTCTTGTGCCTCTGGAGTAGACACATGCAAAGTTACTGAGCTTTTTGGAATGTATTGTGAGCTTGTGAAATGTTGGGCCCTGGATCGGTTTAGTAATATCTGAGGAATGAAGTTCATTTGGCCCCCTTGGCAGTTTTCCTTTCTGCCTTGAACTTCCTGTTGAGGTCTGCCTTATTGGGTGCCTAGTGGTTTAGTCATTGGGAGGACAGTCATGGTGATTGCCCTCTCAAAGGGCTGATGGAATACGCATATTTACTAAACAAGCTATTATGGCAAGGTGTGGTAAGAACTTTACCAGAATAAATTCAGGGTCCTGTTGAAGACCATATCAAGGAGACTGCCTCTTGGCTGTGACATCTCACTTGAGATCTAAGATGTAGATGTTAGCCTGGCTGATGGTAGGGAGAAGAGGTGGAAGTTACAAGGCCTGCATGGCAGGAAGATGAGAGGATCTGCAGATGCTCCTGTATTGTGACTTTGCTTTTGCTGGAGTTGTCTTGGACCCAAATTGATTTCTTTCTCTATTAATAACTGAATTGTACAGCCTGTCTCAGCTCCTGAGTGACCTTTAAGAGCTAGACGTATTCAGATTAGTGTGGCAGGAAAAAACTGGTGTTTCTAGTCGTCACCTCCAAAGGTTGTGCATTATCATTTAGCAAGAGCAATCCAGTTTTAAGGATCTCAATTGCTTTTTCCTGTATGTAACAAATCATTCAGTGTTTGACGTATCATTGAATAACTTTTCTAATTGTGAATGTTAATAAAGTATAAATCATCCACAATCCTGCTAATCATAGCAAGTGTTACCTTTCCAACTACTTCCTATTGTGTTCCCCAAATCCTGCCATTTTTGGTAAAAGTCGTTAGTAAATATTTTTTGCTAATTTTAACATTCACATGTTGAGTACACGCTTCATCTGCTTAGTGTGATGTGGGATATATTGTAATAAATGGAGTTTTAAAAGTCTTGCTTTGAGCTGGGCATGATGGCACATGCCTTTAATCCTAGCCCATGGGAGGCAGAGGCAGGGGGATCTTTGTGAATTCAAGGACAGCCTGGTCTACATAGTGAGTTCCAGGACAGCTGGGGCTACAGGGAGACCCTGTCTCAAAAAGACCCCCCCCAAAAAAATTGCTTTCAAATATTTGGGAATATGGAGCACAGTAGCACAAATGGAAATATGCTGGAAGGTGGGAAATACCAAGCAAAGGACACAGTACACTCATTTCTATTATCTGGGAAAATAATGGCATCTGGAAGCTATGGCAGCCAGACTCTAGGGCTTACAGTTCCCCAAGAAAGTTATCTAGGGTTGAGTTGAAGGAGCATGGAAATGAGAACTTTAAAAATCCATACACATACTATATCCTCCCAAATTATCTTTCATGAGTCTCATCTTGTGGTGGTGGTATGGGCTGGATCTCCTGGAGCTGGAGTTATAGGTGGTTGTGAGCTACCCATTGTGGGTGCTTTGGAATTAAACTCTGGTCCTGTGCAAGAGCAGTATGTGCTCTTAACCACTAAGCCATCGCTCCAATCTTTTTTTATGTAGCCTAGGCTGGCCTGAGAGATAAGGCCTTGTTCTTCAGGAGTTCACAAACAGAAGTATGAACTTAGGTCACTATCAAATATGACTTAAACTTCCAATCCTGTTTAGTTGCAGGCTGTGAAAATGAGGGAGAAAAGGAAAGGTAGGGGACCAAGATCCATTTAAGGTAGACACTTGCTCTCTAGACTGTCTCTGGCAACAGAAAAGCCTGGAACAGAAGGAAAGGCATTACTCACCCTGAAAAGGCTGTTGGAAAAAAAAAAAAAAAAAAAACCCACCCACCACAATCTCCTTTTAATTCAGCTATTGGTGTCATCCAGCTCATAAGCAAAATGTTGGATTTGACCATGAGATCCTCAGCTCCTTTAACACAGTGAGGGTACAGAATTGTGAAGGGAATTAGGGCTGCTGAATTCATGGAAAAGCACTACTGATCAAAGTGCTTAACCACTTAGTTTTTCTTAGCCATAAATCTTCAGGTACTTAAGTGACTTGTAGTGAAATTTATTTGAACTTTTTTTTTCTTTTTTTTGAGACAGGTGCCCAGCTGGCTTGGAACTATGTACAGTAGATTGTCAAATTTGACTTAAATTTCCAATCCTGTTTTACTTGCAGACTCACAGAGATCTGCCTGCCTTTGCCTCCCAAGAGCTAAGTGCTGGGATTAAAGGTGTGCACCACCATTCCCAGCTTGAAGAGGGTTCTTTATAATACTATGCATGAGCTTGGTAATTCTGCCATTGATGGTTACAGTGAAAATGAGGATCAGAGTTAAGTCTGCTAGGACTTGAGATGTTACAGAAAGCAAGGGCTTACTTTCCCAACTACCTGGGCCTCTGTTCACCTGCCTGTTTTCTTGGGGTAGGGGAGGGTATTCCCAGGGATTACATCTGGGGCCTTGTATGTGGTAAGCATATGCTTTACTGCTGAGCTTTCTTTAACTTAGGGTATTAGACTTTGTAGAAAAATGTGAAATACACAAACACAGTACCTAAAACGTCACCCAGAAGTAACCAGTATAGCACTTTGATATTGTATATGCCATTATTTTTAATGTGTTGTACGTGGGGCTCACATTGTATATATTGTGCATTTTTTACTTAGTGTATCATGAATGCATTTTTTTAAGCAACATTTTAAACACAACTTTTAAGGCTGTACATTCATGATAGTTTCTTAAGTATATTTCTGGGTAGAATTTCAAAGTCAAAAGTAGTGCTAAATCTTCTGGTATCACTTGCCAGAGATACCTATTCACATCTCTTCAACAATTTTATAAGCAAAACAAGTACCACCTTAACGCCTGCTTTAATAAACATTTTACCTTGTAAGACTGGACACATATGTGTCGTTCATTGGCATTTTTGTGATGTCATACATTAATGGGGATTTTTCATGAGGGAGACAGCATAAAGCAGTTCCAAAGTAGAGCCGAGTTCAAAATCAGACTTTACCACCTTTTAACTCTGACATTCGACTCCATTTCCTATGTACAAAATATGATCTTTAATAATTAATGCATAAGCCCTTAACAAATACCCATTGCATTTCTTTCTGATCTCTGTAAGAGATCCAGTTTTCTTTTTGCAAGGTACCAATTCCTACCTAATGTCCTACCCTTCTCAGCTTATTCAGACATTTGTCTACAAGAGGAAGTAACAGAACATACTAGATTTTACTTCATCAAAATACCCCCCTTTGAAAAAATGTTCTCTACCGAACACTGGGTGTTTAGCTCTTGTTTTTCTTACTAGTTAGCACATACCCATCTATGAATGTCCAAGAGTTTTAACTTTATCATAAAAATCTTTTTATTCACAGGCTACTAGCATGAGTGTTTTGTCTGCATGTCCCGAGATGCACCCTGTGTGGGCATGTCCCCAGAGGCCAGAATAGGGCATCAGTTCACCTAGAACTGGAGCTAAGAATGGTTGAGAGCTGCCATGTGGGTGCTAGAAACTGAATCCAGATCCTCAGCAAGAGCAGCCAGTGTTCTTGGGCACTGAGCCATCTCTCCAGCACTTAGTTTTACTACAGTAAAGGTATGCTATCCAAATTATTTTTGAGACAGGGTCTCACTATGTAGCCAATGACCAGAACTCTTCATCCTTCTGCCTCTCCATCTGGCGCTGGTGTGATTCACTTTCTTTAAATTGATTCACTTTACCTTGCACTATGTACCAGCCTAAAGATAGTTTCTTGTTGGTTCCTCAGAAGGGGGAAATACTATGATTGCTTTTACTCCTCTAATGTTGTCTTTTAATAAAATTCGGAAGATTACTAACCATTGTTGATATAAGACAAAACAGCAAGTACGAGGTGTTTGGAGGGGAAGACAGACCCAGTAACTGACAATTTTTGAGCACCTGAGCACTGTGGGGGAAACAGTCTTAGAATCAAATGTTATGACATCTGATAATGCAACTCCAATACTGTCTAAAGAATCAAAGGAGTCCTTATCTAGGCTTAGTTTTCCTATTTCCTCTCCCACCATGTCTCTGTAGTTTAAATCTAGCCACAGGTTAGGCAAGGAGACCATCCGTTAGTCCTTTTCCTTAGGTCACTAAGACAAAGCTATTAATAGTGCTGTGACCTAGGTTTTGTCTGTGGTACAAACCTGCCCAGTCTCATATGCACTACTTCAGTCTGGCTGGTGTCACACCTGTCATAAGACATGAACCAATTCAAAGGGAGCTCAAGAGGTGCTGTTCTACATCTTGTTCCCAGCTTCCCTTTTGTACAGGAAACACTGTTCCCTGGCTCTCTAACTCCTATTTTCCAGGTCATTTCAACCTCCATATCCAAGTTCTTGGACAAGGAAATGGAGGAAGGAGCACCTTTAAAGTCATAGAACTGAATACACCAGTGTCATCATCTGATAATGGTCATTAGACTAGAAATTATCTTTTCATTATATCCCTAGTCCCTGACACAAAGCAGGCATCAAACAAATGACTTAGGATTGGCCACTTCCCTAGCATGTGTGAAGTGCTAAGTTCAATTTCCATCTCTAAAAGACAGAAACAACCCTTTGGATAAATTAATTTGTATCTTTGCTTCTCATGCTCATTTAATTTCTGCCCTATCTTGGGCTCAAAATGGTCACGGATGACTCACTCTCTCACTTTTCTTACTGCCTTGTTAATTGTTCCGTACAAATTCGGAGTTCCCCAAATGAAGTTTTTCATGATCTCCATACTACCTTCTAAATGTAAGCCTGGCACACCAACGACCAGACACTGGGACACAGCCTAAAGCCCTTTGCCCTTCCTACCACATTCTCACAGAAAATGAGGTCTCAGTGCACATCCGTGCTTTTCACATTTCCTGAGTATCCTAATGTTAAGAGCAAAGCTGGTTCAGATTGGTCACAGGAAGCTTTACAGGAAATCTGTAGTTAACACTGGGAAAAGCTGCGCACAGCAAACTGCAGCGACTGAAGACCTAGTTTACAACCTTCAAGGACTCTTGCTCCAAAGTCAACCTTTTGACTAATAAGAGAAAAATCTTACTAAAGTATTTACAGATTATTGTATTCACAAATCACTTTACAGTGTGGACTCTCTGATGGCGCACAAGCACTGATCGGTGCCTGAAAGCTTTCCCACATTCACTACATATATATGCTTCATCCCCAGCATGGATTCTTTGATGCTGAGCAAGTGCTGAGCTCCTTTTGAAGGATTTGCCACACTCACTGCACTGGTAAGGTTCCTCTCCACTGTGAATTCTCTGATGCCTGATCAGGTTTGAATTCAGACTGAAAGCTTTTCCACACTCATTACATTCATAGGGTTTCTCTCCACTGTGTATCCTCTGATGGGTAATAAGCTCGGAGCTCTGTTTGAAAGCTTTCCCGCATTCATTACATTCATAGGGTCTCTCTCCTGTGTGAATTCGTTGATGTCTAATAAGCTTTGAGCTCTGGCTAAAGGTTTTCCCACATTCATTACACTCATAGGGTTTCTCACCAGTGTGGATTCTTTGATGTATAATTAGATATGAACTTTGACTGAATGCTTTGCCGCATTCATTACATTTGCAAGCTTTCTCACCCGTATGAATTTTCCGATGTCTAGTGAGGGCTGAGCTCTGATTGAAGGCTTTTCCACATTCACTGCACTCATATGCTTTCTCACCACTATGAATTTTCTGATGAATAATGAGGTATGACCTTAAACTAAAGGCCTTCCCACACTGATTACATTTATAGGGTTTTTCTCCAGTATGGATTCTCTGATGTTGGGTTAGAGAAAAATGCTGTTTGAAGCTGTGCCCACATACATCACATCTATAAGGTTTCTCTTCTGTGGGAACTTTCTGACATGTTGCAGTATTTGTACTTAGGATCAAGAATCTTTGAGGATCATCATGGTGGTCTTTCTTTCCCAAAGATTTGTGTGTAAAGATCAACTGACTAAAACTGCCTCCATGGATAGGGGAACTTCCTTGCTGCCATTCTAAATTGCTTTTGTGTTCACTAAAGCCTCTAAACGAAGGATCCCAAGAGAGTCCCACTGATTTTTCTTCTGAAACGCCCACTTTTGATGATGTTCCACTGTTCTTACAATCTGAAATGGTAAAATCAAAACAAACCAAGTTAACAGGAATGCTGCAGAGTTTACATTTCTCTGATCACTCTCAATGTTCACTTTTTTCCTTTTTGAGAGTCTTCCTACATTGTTCAGGCTGGCCTGGTACTTCTTGGTTCAAGGGATTCTCCTACTTCTGCCTTCTAAGGAGCTGGGACTAAAGGTCATCACCATTCTGAATGGCTCAACAGTCACTTTCTGTGTAATAGAAGGGTCTACTTGCAAAGCTGTCACTGTCCACTCATGTATTTTCAACTGGTCAAAACAGGGATCTCTTCTCTTTTCCAATCTAAGGCCTCTGTTTACCCTTTGACTGTTTCTTCTCTTTCAGGACTTCAGCTGGTCAGCTGCCCGCTACTTCTTTTCTACTATTTTAAATCTCTTTCTAAATTGACTCCCTGTGATAGTATTAATTACCAACTTGACACAATCTCGAATCACCTGGGAAATGTTTCAGTCAGACTGTCTAGATTAGGTTGGCCTGTGGGAATGTCTTATGTTTATTGATGTGGGAAGGCCCAGCCCACTGTGGGTGGCACTATTCCCTGGATTTGGGTCCTGGGCTGTGACAAAGTGGAGAAAGTGGGCTGAGTAGTAGGTCTGTGTATATTCATTCTCTCTCTGCTCTGGACTGTTGATATGACTAGCTCCTGCTGCCTTGACTTCCCTACAGTGAAGAACCTGGAGTTAGGAGCTAAAATAAACCCTTTCTCCTCCAAGTTGCTTTGGTCAGTGTGTTTTATCAGAAACAGAAACCAAAATGAAGACACCTCCATCTGTCAACTTAAGATCAAGTCACTCTCCCCTTTTAAAAACTAAGTCCCTTGCCTATGTATCTGTCAAGCAACCACCCACAGTACAATTTCTTTAAAGGTTTGTCTGGAGTCATCCCATTCTGCAATCTGGTTTCTAGCTCAGCCTCTTGAACTCTACCACTTCAGACAGTAGTCTTATCAAGGTTAGCAGTTTCATGACTGAGTAACTGCATGGATACCTTATACATTTTAGCTGACCTTTCTGTAGCATGGTGCCGAGAACCACACTTTTCATTTTCCTTCTTGAGACAGGGTCTCACTGTAGTCCAGGATGGCCTCAAGCTTATGGCCATCCTCTAGCCACCAAGTGCTAGAATTATTAGGGTGAGACACACACATGGCCTTCCTTTTCTACCTGATTTTTGTGGCTGTTCCTTCTATTTTAGGGCTAGTAACTAAGAAACTAAGTTCTTCCAGATTCTATCCTGGGTTCTCATGTATCCACATTGTACAAACCTTCTACCTTAGGTTTCAATTACTGTATTTAAGCTCATGTCTCCTCATATTCCTAATTCAACTCTGATTCTTGTAAGTTCTAGATTGTCATATCCAATTGTTAACTGGGTATTTTGCTTGTGAAAACCAGTACCCAAATGCCTCAAATTAAACACAACATCAGAGGTTATGTTTTATGGCACCACTGTTAAACAAGTTGTACAAGACTGAAACTTGATCTCATCCAGTTCTTCTTTCATGATCTGCTTTTAACAATGACCAGCTACTTCAATGCACTTTCAATGCTGAGGAACAGGATTTGGCTTCAATCTTCTCTATACTCCAGTGTTTAACACAAGTTGATGTGTGACAAGTTGTCACTGTGGCCACTTGGACTACAGTCTCTGATGAGCCTCTTGTCTTGCCTTTCTGAAATCATGTCTATACCCTGCAGCTGAGTTCTAAGCCATAAATTTAACAATACCACTCCTTTGTCCAAAACCCTTGAACTGTACCTCTCTGTACTTACGTCTTATTTCCTCCATGAGTTTCTTTCATCATCTCATCCCTTACCAACTGTCGAGTCGAAGTGACTGCCTATAATCTCCACAGCAGTGTTCTCTCTCGCCCTCAGGACTGTGGCCCTTGTGTGGGCCACTCCTTCTACCTACACAACTGGCTTTCTCCTACTCACAGTTCAAGTTTAGCTCAGGTGTTTCTTCCTCCAGGAAGTGGTCCTTGAACTTTTCATATTGGGTTTGGTACCATTTTATGTGCCCCGATAGTACACAGTGCCTTCCTTTAGTCTATAACTTACTATACTCGGTTGCATCTGCCTTTCTCTGTGTGAACCACTCATGAAGACGTGAAAGTTAACTGAAGATGTATTTACCACAGTACTAGCCATTTTAGCACTCTTAAGTTATAAAACGATTGTGTGAATAACAGAGGAACTAATACAAGTAAGGATGGTTGCAATTCATGAGGGTTCTAACATAAAGCTTAAGCGAGCAGCTCCGGTTTTGATTGATAAAAGTGCTGTTCACATGCAACAAGTTTATAAATCCAATTCTGCATATTCAAAACCAGAGGCCTAACTCACATATGTCTGCAGATATGTTTCTATTTCTTACCACTTTTAGAGGAAAGGCAAGGTTTCCAGGATTTCAGCTGTGTCTTCAAAGGTTGGAGCTCTGTGTTTGTTGACTCTTGGGATGCTCTGATGTATGTCAAATCTTTCCATGACACTGCTGGCCCCGGTGGACTAGCTGGGACCTGAAATCAGTAAAATATAATTAGCAAAAATCTCAAGCAGGTCAATGGGGCCATTGCTATAGCTGAAGGAGAGTGGAAAAAAGGGTAGAGCCAGGTACAGTACCATGGTTACATAAGAACTGGTTCAGCAGAGACTGCATTTCAACCCATCAGCTTTAGGCTTACATTCTTTTCCTATAACACATCAGTTCTTGGTTCCCACCTGCTGCCCTGGGTCATCAAACTCTCTCTCCAAATCCTCCAGCAGGGTCACCACTTCCTCGCCACTTCTTGGACCATGCTGCTGAACCCACACCTTCAGCTCCTCAGGCAGGATGCTCAGGAACTGCTCCAGCACCAGCAGCTCTAGGATCTGCTCCTTTGTGTGCAACTCAGGCATCAGCCACTGGTAGCAAAGTTCCTGGAGCCGGCCCAAAGCTTCCCGGGGCCCAGGGGTCTCATGGTAGCAAAAGTTCCTGAACTGCTGGCGGAACAGTTCTTGGCAGGATTGGGCAGTTCCATTCTGCTTACACTTCTGGCTCCAGGAAAAGCTATCTTCTATTTTCACTAGTATCAATTCTTCTTGAGTCTGAGGCTTCAAAGTCGAAATTGCTCTGGATTCCACAGCCATTCTGGGCTGCAATAGCTTACGACGACGACTGGGTTCTGTGCCTGGGAAGGAGTTTCTGAGTAATCTCTTCTTTCCTACAGGATATGAAAGGTCTATTGACTTACAGTAGGGGAAAAAAACAAAACAACTCTAGAAACTTCTAACACTAAAAGGGAACCGGTTTAAGACTTTAAGTACACCAACAATAAACAAAACCACTCACTTTCCAGTGCCTCCCACTGTGTAGCATTCCTACCACTACTAAAAAGACATAAGCAGAGTATGACTTATAGTGAAGAATATCGTTTCCTTCTCAGGTGTTTCAATCCTGGTTTACTATGTGAATAAAACACAGAACTTTTCTCAGTGCTGGGAATGAACCCAGGGCCTTATGCACCGCAAGCACTTTGCCACTGAGCTGCCTCCTTGACCCCTTTTGGTAGCGCTGTGGCTTGAACTCTGGTCCTTGACCATGCTAGACAAGCACTCTACCACTGGGCTATCCTCAGCCACAGAAAATGTTAATAAAATATAGGCCACCAACTCAGACTTCAATGGTAATAATACCTAAGTAACACTGAATGCTCACTTTAAATTTATTCCTAGTTATTGTTTGATAATTGCAGGTAGTGTTATTCTGCATATGAGACACATTTTCAAGTTCACATTAAACATGATTTTATTTAAATAAGTATGTCAGGGTGTCTGCCACTTGCTTACCATTTGGTACTCACAGTAATTTCTTCAACAAACACGGAGGCATTTATGTGAGGTTTATCCTGAGCCAGCATTACATTGAAAAGGTTTTTGTTTAGGAATGAGTAAGAAACTAACTGTAGATGCTTATCATGTGTTGAAAAATGCCCTATTACAGCCGCAGAAGATCAGCCTAAGCTCTCAGAAGTACTCTAAATTTAAGCGAAGTGTTACGATCCTGTGGCACAGGACAAACCCTGCTGTTTGGATAGGGAACACCATAGACCTGCACGCCCTTCAGGTCGCATCACAACCATGTCCTAAGCAGACAGGGCTGCGAGCACCTGCCCCGGGGGAAGCAACAGACCACGTCTTCTAGGACACACGTTAACCCAGCCTACTTCCCTACCCAGAGAAAAAGCGACCCCTGCCACGCAGCCTAAAGGCGCGTCTGCCTCCACACTTGTACTTCGGTGCCGCTGCACTGACCACATACGAACTAAGCCCGCATGCCCGCGATGCAGGGCCTGCTTGTCCCCGGGGCTCCCTCCGCAGTGCTCCTTCCGCAGTGCTGCCGCGGGCGACGTCCCACTTCCCCGCTCTTGTCACCACGTCCTCCGCCCCCTCCTCAACCCTCAATACAACCAGGACACACCCGACGTGAATTCTACAGGCTTCTCGGATCTGCCTTCCTCAGCGGCCGGCTGCGATCACGGGTTAGATTCCTGGTTGAACCACAGCCGCAGGGACCACGGAAGCGCGACTCCGGGGTTCCTCGTCCGGCCGCACCGGAAGGACAGGCCGAGGATCCCGGGCCCGCGCCACCCGCCCACCGTCCGCCCAGAGCCCACGTCCCTCACTGCAAGGCCCAGCAGCTACCACAAAGACCGGAGGTGTGTCTGCGTTCCCTTCCGCTAGCGCGACGGGTCCATCTGTCCGCCCCGCCCCTTCCGCTCGTGCTCACCCAGACACCGCCTCCACCCCGCCCCCTCCGCTCGCGCGCACAGAGGCGCCTCTGTCCGCCCCGCCCCTTCCGCTCGTGCTCACCCAGGCACCGCCTCCACCCCGCCCCATCCGCTCGCGCGCACAGAGGCGCCTCTGTCCGCCCCGCCCCTTCCGCTCGTGCTCACCCAGGCACCGCCTCCAACCCACTCCATCTGCTCGCGCGCACACAGGAGCCTCGGTCCGCCCTGCCACTTCCGCTCACGCGCACAGAGGAGCCTCCGTCCACCCCCCCCCACCTTCTGCTCGCGCGCGCACACAGGCACCTTCCTACATCGCGCCCCTTCCGCTCATGCACCGGTGCCTTCCTCCCTCCCGCCCCTTCCGCTCGTGCACAGGTGCCTTCATCCCGCCCCGCTCGTGCACAGGTGACTTCCTCTGTCCCGTCCCTTCCGCTTGTGCACACAGGAGCCTTTGTCAGCCCCGCCCCTTACGTGCATGCACACAGGGGTCTCTTGCCCCGTCCCTTCCGTCGCCCGTGCGTTACCCTGCTCCTTCTTTACCCCTTTCCTGGATTTCCGAGTCCCCGACCAAACTCCTGGGTGAGTGGGCGGAGCCAGTGTAGCAGGTCCTTTATCCTCTGCACCGCTGCACTGTCCCATGCAGTGTCCCCGTGCACCGCCCCTATGCATCGCTCCCATGTGCCTTCCCCGTGTACATCCCTGGACATCGCACTGTCCACACCAAGAGAACAGGTCTTCCCAAAACAAGAATCTGCAAGTGATTGAGACCTCCCAGTCCCAAACAAGTCCAACAAAGGGGCAAAGCCACTGCCATGCACAACCTGAGACCTCTGCAGGGCATGGGGGAGAGTTGTTGAGAATGCAGTCACCCAGAGAAGGCTGAAACTGTTGCTAGACATTAGGAAGTCCCCCATCCTCCAATCTGCAGCACCATCAGCCCACCATCAGAGGAATGTGGAACTGTGATTCACAGTTGGGGACCACAGCTCCAGGCTCATGGGAGACAACCACTCCTTTACCTCGGGCTAGCTCATCTAGGCCACCTAGGCCTTTTGTCTAGACTTCTGCCAAGCTTGGCTTCAGCTTTTTTATTATCTCTGTATTCCTCTGGAGGAATAATTTCATTTTTTACTGTTAACCCCCAAATTCATAAACCCCAATTCCACCCTCTACTTGTCTACTAAACCTCAAATCTTTTTTGACCCTTAAAGCTTTTATTTTTACTTTATGGATGAATGTGTGCACCCCAGCCCCCCCCCCCCCCCAATCCCTTGGAGCTGCAGTTACAGGTGTTTGTGACCCACTCAACCTGGGTTCTGGGATCTGAATTCTTGTCCTCGGGAGTAGCAAGTGCTCTTAACCACAGAGCCACTCTCCAGCCCTATCCCAATCTTTTTAAAGTTTTTTTTTTTTTTTTTTTTAATTGGAATATAGTAATTACATATAGTAATGGGGTTCATTATGCCATTTTATAATGTATATTACTTGTTTTGCCTGACACATTCTAAGCTTAGTGGTTACTGTCTTGTATAATCTTAAATAAGTATCAAGTATCATGGCAGGGTTAATATGATATATTTTTATTGTTTATAATACTCTTTAAAGAGAAAAAAGAAAAAAATTAACTCCCTCATATAACTACATCATTAATACAGGTATTTCTAAGTACATTATAATTAAATAAGTAGTGAGGGTCTTTGGTCAGTTAATTTATTCAACCTTTATCTCATCCTATCAATTTCCTTGCCTTCACTTGGGAGAGTAACTTTTTAAAAAAGAATTATACATATTTAACTTATGTGTATCTGTGTGTGTGTGTATGACTTATGTGTGTGTCCTTGGAGGCTGGAAGAGTGTATTATATTCCCAGAAACCAGAGTTACAGGTGGTTGTGAGTCACTTGTCACTGGTGCTGGGAACCAAACCCAGGTCTTCTGAAAGAGCAACAAGTGCTCAATTACTGCGCAATCTCTTCAGCCTTGAGATTGTCTTTTTGTTCTTGATTATTAAAGATTAAACTGACAAGTCAAATCAGTTTAATTCTATGTTTTGAATAGCAGCTGATCTCCCAGTTTCCTAGGAAATTGTGGGAAGTAGGAACTCAAATTAAAAATGTTTTAAATAGCACATGAAGAATTCTTAAAGGTTAAAGTCAAGGCTGTTATCAACTAACTGTTAAGCATGCCAATCTAGTAGAGTAAAATAAATTAGGAAACTATACATAATATATTTTGCTAATGACTGGATCTAATCAAACCAAATAGACAACTGATTGTCCACCTGTTTTACAATCTATTTGCCTAAAATTAAAGATTTGTTATTCTGAGAAAGTGTTACATACTAGGAACATCTACAGGTAATGATGAACTGTGAGGATGTTGGGGTCCATCTGAACAGAAGAACCTGTGCCATGGGATAAATTCTTTGGTAAAACTGAAGAATTACCAACCCCTCAGTTATCTTGAAGCCTTTAAGAGGGAGCTGACACTGATTCTAACCACTCCAACAGCTATCAAAATACCTGAAAGCAAACCCTGAATCCATCACTCTAGAGTCCAGCCTTGGAAGACAAAAGAAAAATGAG